CACCGGCGACTTCTCACCGGAATCGCCATATCCACTAGACCCACCAGATCTAACTCCAGCAATTTCTATCCATTCCAACTGTCTCCTTCCTTATCCTTACTTTCACCATTTCAGATCTAGATCTAAAAATTCAAACTTTTAGAGAAGTAGATTCGAGCAGCCAGATCTTCAAAGAGTGTTTTCCCCCAAAAGATTTTGCACTGATGATTCTCATTGTCGTGTTCATACAACCCCTTACCACAGCATGCAGATTTTTCTTCATCACTTCTTATCCTGAAGCTCACCCTTCTCTCACTTTCACCATGTTGGCGACCACCACAGGATCTCCTTCACCGCCACCATTGGATACATCTCTGCAGGTTATAGATTTAAAAGTATATGTATCTATCTTGCTTGTTTCGAGGATTTCCGGATCTCATTCACTCGCCTCTACGTGACTCTCTGCAGTATGCAGATTATATTCTGTGTTTCTCGATTGTTTATCCATTGTGAAGTATGATTATCTCCCATATGTTCCATTCGGTTTGAGTGGTTGTGTTGCAGGGAGTAGTGTGCCCAAAATCATGTATGCTTCCATGTTTGTTGTGTTAAAAGGCTCAACCATTTGGTGCTTCGTCACCCCTGCTTGTGATGCCGAATTTCTGATTGTTAAATCTGCTTCTGTTGCGGTTTCAATCCCAGGCGTTAGACCAATACTTCTATTCTCTAATTCCCAAAGCTTCATTTCACTTCTTAGCACAATTGGCGTTGAGTTTCTTGGACTGCTCAGCGAAGTGTTGTTTATGTGTTATGTTTGCTTCTATCTTGTGTTGTTATATCTCAGTGCTCTGATTTACTATGATAGCAGCAGATGTTTTAGCCGGCATGGCCTTGTTGTTGCNGCGTTAGACCAATACTTCTATTCTCTAATTCCCAAAGCTTCATTTCACTTCTTAGCACAATTGGCGTTGAGTTTCTTGGACTGCTCAGCGAAGTGTTGTTTATGTGTTATGTTTGCTTCTATCTTGTGTTGTTATATCTCAGTGCTCTGATTTACTATGATAGCAGCAGATGTTTTAGCCGGCATGGCCTTGTTGTTGCTTGATGTAAACATTTTCTCCAGCTATGGAGACTAATGATTTATAAGAATGTTGTTTGATCATAAAAAAAATTAGTGTATTGATCTCGAATTATCCTTTAAGGAATCGTTCGATGCTTTGATCCCAAAGGATCCATTGATTTTATCTTTGAGAACCTGAACTGGAACGTTCTTAGGAACCTGATTTAATCCTGAAGAATTTGTAGATTTCATTCATGAGAATCCTGAGGTTCTATCAAATGCAAATGTTAAAATAATAGAATAATTATATTGTTATTATTCTTTTTTTATATATTGTAAATGCAAATAATCTATCAAAAATTTACATATGAAAACATTGAAAAAGAATATTTGGAAAACATGCTTTAAAGGCTTTTAAATTATTTTCTAATAATTGTTGACGAATAATAAAGAGAATAATGTTGTAATAAAGTGGGAAAAAAGCCTCGCATTATCAAATATATGGGCAATTTGTCTTGATTAAGCGCAGAGTTGGCCAAAAACACGCACAACGTTTAGATGAGCTCCTCTCTAATTAGGAAATATACTCTTAATCATAGAGTGGATTCTTAAGAGAAAGTTGATGGGGAGAAGAAGGCTCAGAGAAAATCGAAACGCATAAGAAGCCGAATAGAACTGAGCTTATCACCCTTTTTATCGAAGAGCGGAACGGCCCGTATGCCCTGCCTTAGCTCAGACACTGGTAAACAAGTTTGACCGGGAAAACCATACTCACCTGTTAAGTCGTGAACTGTCACACGGAGCAAAGCAAGTTCGGGAACAGTTAACGGGAAGCTGAACTCATTGTACCCTGTTTTCATAATTTCATCAGCTGGTGCTCCGGCAATACCCATCTGAGGTTAAATTTTACTAGGATCAGAAAATTTATTACCATGATAAAGTAATTTGATGTATAAATATACATACTTTGATGTACAAGCTTGGAGGAAAATCATGATCAAAGTTATTTTTCATGAACTCAATGTGCCACCCATCTCCAATCAAGACTTTCACCTGCCATGTTAAATGTTAAGCAAAAATGTCGGAATATACTAATGAAACGCTTCTTGTATTGAAGAGAATGAAACCTTTAATGTTTTTTTCACCCTCAAGTTTTCTTTCGGATCAAAAAAATCATTGCTGGGGCCAAAGTTCATAAGCAAATCTGGCTTTTTGATGTAACCACACCCTCCATTTCCTCTAAACATACCATGCATGAGCCACAAAGCTTCCCCGTATCCCTGCATTTTGCGTTAAACATCATGTAACATACAAAATTCCTAGCATTTAGTTTCTTTAAGAAATACTTTATATATATGCATTAACAAGTTCCATAACAAACGAAAGTTAGTCACTGTTAATTAGAATTTGAATCGTATCTAATTAGTTACACTACCCTTCTCTTTCTATACATCTATCTAGTTCGATACAAAGGAAGCAGTGCAACGCAAGATAGTAGAATGTTATTTGGTAAATGGTCCCCAAATGAATACATGAGTCCAAAACCATTGCTCACAGCTCACTTGTGCCGTTTCCCATAGGGAGCTTGTAGCATACAACCGAAATGAATCCTAACTAGATAGCCCTATATCTCTTTATTTAAACCATCATGGACACACAAACAAGTTAAACTTCAAAATTTTGTAAAGGAATTTTATTATGGATGTATGTGATATTTTGGGACTTGACTTACTTTTCCTAGAGTTTTCGGTTTGACCTAATATATATCTATATCTTATTTTTTCTAAACTGCTTCTCAAATAATCGAAGTTGAATAAGGGAAAGTATCAGAGATACAAGCTGTAGAGCGAGAAAAAAAGGATTTTTTAGTTCGCAGTTTCTTTAGCTTACCCACCGCATGGGGTGTTTCAAATGAGGTAATCAAAACTCTATTGTTATTTAAAAATGGATTTTAAAATTCATTATTATTGAACTTCTTATTTCATAAACTATGTTAAATATGAGGTTATTGATAATATTCTAATTTGTAAATTTCATAATTCTTCTAATTATAGTGTCTTAGTGAATTTTTTTAATTAAAAAAGAAAAAGAGAAGACAATCTCATACTTTTAGATGAAATTGTAGAGTGGTTTAGCAAAATTCATAGTTAAATCTCAATCAACAAAAAGTATCCAAAAACTTACTAAAATCAAGTAATTTCAAACTCTAGGTTTAATTTTAATGGGGATGTTCTTAGATTCAATTTGATATCCTAAATATTATATGTGTATAAATATTAATTAAAATGTCTCAGTGAAGTTTCTTAAATAAAAAGAAAAAGTAAGAAAAAAGCAAAAGGGCATGGATTTAGACAAGATTATAGAGTAATTTAACAAAATTCATAGTTAAATCTCAACTCATCTAAAATCATCTAAACACTTTCTAAAAATCAAGTCATTTTAAATTGAGTTTTTAGTAATAAAACCCCTCAACTTAAGATGGATCGTAAACAAAACCCTCAACTAAAGATTTAGTGAAATAAAGGGTTTTTAGTAATAAAACCCCTCAACTAAATATGGATCGTAAAAAAAACTCTCAACTAAAGATTTATTGAAATAAACCCTCAACTTTAGTTCTGTTAATGTTTATCACCCTCCGTCACGGAATTTTAGACGGAGGGTGACATATGTTAACATAACTAATGTTGAGGGTTTATTTCATTAAATCTTTAGTTGAGGGTTTTTATTACAATCCATCTTTAATTGAGGGGTTTTATTACTAAATGCGGTTAAATATTTTAAAATCTTTGTTACCATTTATTTATTATTTAAGAATCTTAGAATTGATTTATAAACATTGAAAATAATCTATATTTTTATATATTAATTTATCAATTTTATAACCTATTTATAAAGTTTTCTCATTTAATAATTTTTATAAATGATTATTAAAGTTTAATGATGATTTTATAAGATTAAAGATGTGATTATTCGTCGTACTATAAAAACATAAAGTAAATAAATAAAACAAGAGAAACTTATTGATTAATATGGTAGGAGTATAACATACTGATTCAGAAATTAAAAAGAAGAAAAATAATCCTACATTATTTCTTCTGAAATAGAAAAAAGTAAGAATCAAATTGAAATTGTTTAAAGAGGAGAAAAAAACCCTTGCCATATTTTAAGTAACAATGTTGAATTTCTAAACTAATTAAATATCCTCAACACTACCTACAACTTTAGATAACTTAGAAATCTCAATTATTTGATATTTGACAGTATATAAGAAAATTGTATGTGTTTCCTCCTTTATAAAGCTTTATCGCTTTACTTTGTAATATCAAGAAAAATCATGTATTATTTCATCCTAAGAAATAGCGGACAAAAGCTTATAAAATCATCGTTAAACCTTATCAATAGTTTATAAAATATTAAAACTATTTACAAAGCTTTATAAATAGGTTAAAATTTTGATAAATTAATTTATAAAAAATATAAATTATTTTCAATGTTTATAAATCAATTTTAATATTCTTAAATAATAATAAATGATAATAAAGATTTTAAAATATTTAACCGCATTTAGTAATAAAACCCCTCAACTAAAGATGGATCGTAAAAAAAACTCTCAACTAAAGATTTAGTGAAATAAACCCTCAACTTTAGTTCTATTAACATATGTCACCCTCCGTCTAAAATTCCGTGACGGAGGGTGACAAGCATTAACATAACTAAAGTTGAGGGTTTATTTAACTAAATCTTTAATTGAGGGTATTTTTTACGATCCATCTTTAGTTGAGAGGTTTTATTACTAATAATCCTGAAATAAACCTTCATTTTTAGTTCCATTAACGTATGTCACCCTCTGTCACAGTATTTTAGACGGAGGGTGACATACGTTAACAAAACTAAAGTTGAGGGTTTGTTTCATTAAATCTTTAAGTGAGGGGTTTTTCTACAATCCATCTTTAGTTGAGGAATTTTATTACTATATATGATTAAATATTATAAAATATTTATTATCATTTATGCATTATTTAAGACTCTTACAATTGAATTAAAATAATTTATAAAATTTTGTACATTATTTTATCAATTTTATAACTTATTTATAAAGCTATATAAACATATTAATACTTTTATAAACTATTAATAAGATTTAATGATTATTTTATAAGATTAAAGATATGGTTGTTCATCATACTACAAAAAAATGAAATAAATAAAGAAAACAAGAAAATAAAATCAAAGACATAGTTTTATTGATTAACATTGTAGGAGTATATGATATTGGTTTAGAAATGAAAAGGAAGAAAAATATCCTACATTATTTGTTCAGAAATAAAAAGAAAGTATGACTCAAATTGAAATCGTGTAAATAGGAGAAGAAAGTCATTGCCATACTTTAAGTAACAAGGTTGAATTTCTAAACTTTAATTATGTTAATCTATATCACCCTCCGTCTAAAATACCGTGTCGGAAGGTGATATACGTTAACGAAAAAGTTGAGGGTCTATTTTATTAAATCTTTAGTTGAATTTTTTTTACAATCTATTTTTAGTTGAGAGGTTTTATTACTAAAAATATTTTTATATTCTATTGGGATGTTGTTGGACAATGTGATATCCTAAATAATAATTAGATGTGTATAAATATTCTCCTACGATCTTTTAGCTTGTTGATTCGTCATCAATACAATCATCTAAGAACAAAATCATATACTTTGAAACATAACATAAAGCTTTAACGACAAACCTGCATGTTGAATGCAATCATTTGAGCTCCGTTCATCCAACTATTCCGAGGTTTACAGTTGAAATACTTATTGGTTGAACCTTTAGGGTATATCCTCAAAAAATTTCTCTGGGTGAATCTGTATCAATTTTGAGCAAGGAGGTACGATATTCATTAGTTGCAATTTTGGAAACAAACAAATTTATAGGATACGAAGTACCTTGTAACATCTGTGCCATACGATGCAATAACTTTCTCAAGTGATTGCTCAGTCAAACTAAGCCACTTGTTTTTACTTTCTTGAAACTTCCATACCTTTTGTATGCCCTCATATATTCTAAAATAATGGATGGCAATAAGGCGCTGGTAACAAACCTTCTCGTGATCATTTTGCATCATCCAAGCAAAAATAGACTGCTCTGAATCCTTCCCCTTCACATCATCTGCGTCTAGCTGTTCATGTGGAGGTTTTGTGGATATTAGTATCCTGAACTTCAGTTCTTCTGGTGAAGGATATTCTTTGGAACTTCCAGGATCATGATTATATAACATATCTCCAAATGTCCGAGTTATCATCTGTGGGGTCCAATCAAAAACTTAGGTGCCAAGCCATTGAAAATAACGAGCAGGGGATCAAAGAAACTTACCTTCACAACGTGGGTTCGAAATATTGGAGTCAGATTGTCGCCAAGTGTAATGATAACAGGATACGCCGAACTGACAAATGCATTATCTTTAATGGATTGCAAACATTTTCCTAGTTCCACATGTTTCCACAAGTTCCTACACATTAACTTACATGAATACCGGGGATGAAAACAAAACATTAAGCCTTGAGCTAGAAGCATAGAACCAAACTGAATACCTTCCATGTGCGACAAGGATATTGTCGTTAGCATCAGACCACAGATCAAGATCGATTGCCCTCACACCTGATCTCAAGTCTTTTATGATTGGCTCATCTCCACATTCGCTTTCACGGTCAAAGCCGGTTAAGTAGGAGTAGTGGCTAGCGTATATGAAGTAATGCGTCAGAGGAGCTGTCATATCCTGATGGACCTAAATATCACAAGGAAATGTCTTGAAATCGTTCACCCAAAAAAATGTGATGATTCTCCAGTCATATGAGTTCACCTGACAACTGACCGCCGGGTTAAATTTATAAGAAAACAAATAATATGCAAAGTCGTCGAATGTGAGTGCTTGCCATCTCAGACTCGTAGAAACGGGGTGTCTCTCGCGAATCACTTCTTCGACAATCCTCTTTATCTTCGCCCGATCGGTTGTATTGTCGATCAGTTGACCCTGTACCTCTTTCAAGAAACATTGAAGTTGATCCGGCGTCATTTCCGTCTCACCATCCGTATATGTCTCAAATGCATCTATAACGTCATCCGGATTTGGATCTCTGAACAGCTTCTTTGTTTTTTTGAACCGCTTCGTGAAGATCATCTTCAACTTTGTCACTGGATGCGAAGAAAGATGCTAAGCTTTCCCTCAAGTATTTCCTTTTGCCCTTGTTTTCTTTTTTGTGTTACTTGTTTGACAATTGATTGTCATTTTATTCTATTAGTATCAACTTGTGGTTAGTACTTTACTAGAAAGTATTTTAAATTAGTTGAAAGGGTATTTTAAAGTTATAATAACATTCAAATAGTCGTCAATTGTAATATAAAATATAGGAAATATTGGGAGGGTAATGTTCATCTTAAGATGAAAAATAATAATAGAAGGTTCTTTGAACAATTAGCAAGAATTTGAGCTTGAAAACAACATGCATAAAATATGACAATTTTGAAAGTAAATAAGGGTAAATTACTTTTACTAACTACTAGATCCTTTCTCCGCGCTACGCGCGGAATATATCTTTTGAATCTATTTTTTATTATTTTTTCAATTTAAAAATGTATAATTCTGACTCTAATTAATCTTATGTTAGCGGAAAAAAGTAAATCATATTATATATATATAAGTCTTGTGATGTCATTTGTACTCGGAAGATCGTACTCTTTCCCTTTTCCTTTATATNTACTAGATCCTTTCTCCGCGCTACGCGCGGAATATATCTTTTGAATCTATTTTTTATTATTTTTTCAATTTAAAAATGTATAATTCTGACTCTAATTAATCTTATGTTAGCGGAAAAAAGTAAATCATATTATATATATATAAGTCTTGTGATGTCATTTGTACTCGGAAGATCGTACTCTTTCCCTTTTCCTTTATATGGGAACAACCTTATAGTAAAATCTTTCCGACGTTCTCGTAGTGGTCACGTACCCGTCGAAAAATCTTAGCTAAACAATTGTTCTCGTCAATCATGTTGATAATGAGGCGCTTTAAGGTTATTTCGTCGAGACTACCATCCGCTGAGGTTTGGCCCATCGCATTTAATCGGTTTCTGATTTCGTTGCCCGTATCAAATATATAAAGCTGGAGATATTCTTGAAGACGGCCTTGTTGTAGAATAAGGGAGCCAATTCTATGGTGGGTTTGACCTTGGATCCTTATAGTGTAAGGACCAGACGCATTCACCACACTATAATCCATTTTCATCCCAATGGATGTGAAAGCCAGTATAGAATTATAGACTCAGATAGTATCTCAAAACTACCTAAGCCGAAGAAGTTCTTCTAAAAGGGCTGGGGGTTGCTTCATCGGTAGAATAATTGTTTGCCCATGGTTACAGCAAACTGTGAATGTTGGTTCTCCAGTTATGGCATCCGTTCCAATGCTCCCCGAAGTCCACATCAATGCACCACATTTTGTGCATGCTACGATTGGGTTCTCATCAGCCTTAGATGTGGAACATTTATCTGAATTTAATGTGTGTGAAATTGTTAACATATAGAGTGTTTATTATTTTAGAGTTCTATGGAGATTAATATAGTATAATCTCATTATCATAATAATGTTGGGAGTTTCAAAAATTTATTAATTTATAGAGATATTAATTTATTTAATTTTCCTTTTTAGTTTTTAATACTTTAAAATTAAAATGTTTGAATTTTTCGTACATACATTATCTATTTTAAATATAGAGATATTAATTTATTTAATTTTCCTTTTTAGTTTTTAATACTTTAAAATTAAAATGTTTGAATTTTTCGTACATACTTTATCTATTTTAAATATAGAGATATTAATTTATTTAATTATCTTATTTGGTGTATATTTTTCCATAGAATTGTTATGTTGTTTTCGATATAATTTTACTAACTATTATCAAATATTATAAATTATTAATTTATGTGTTTATTGGGACTATATATCTACATGGGAGTTAAAAATATTATTATCTTATTATCCTATCGACAGTTTCCTTTGTAGATATTTTAAATACTTTCAAATATTTTTATTTATCATAAGCAATATTTGATTATATTGTACATACATAACTTAAATTTTAAGAATTTTTGTTTCTATATTGTTTTATTATATTAGTTGGTGTATGTTTTATTTTTCATAGAATTGTTATGTTTGTTTCGATATAATTTTACTAAATATTATCAATATTCATAAATGCTTTTATTGGGACTATATAATTACATGGTAGTTTTAGAAATATTATTATCTTATCATCCTATCGAATCGTGCCATATTAAACACTGTCTCAAGACAAACCAGTGAAATTTAGCAATCTATATAAATTAATAATTTACAAACTATTAATTTTTATAGGTTCTACTGTATTTGTTTTTTCCAATTATTTACATTTTTACATTCACTTGAGGGCTTGCTATAGTATTTACCTTTTTTTGGCTCTACTGTGCCGCAAGCCATGTGGTCGTGAAAGAACATCTGAATATATGTCATAAACAATGAATATTAGAATTATATATGTATTTATTATCAATGGACCTGGTTAGTTATGATTCTTACCTTGGGACAATGTTGATGTTCGTTTTGATAGCAAGATAGCCCTTCTCATGTTGCGTGCATTTTTTGTTTTGACTAATAAGTTTTAAAAGTTAGGTTAAGAAGATATAATGTAAGATATATATACTGGAGTACATTACATACCATAGGATTCACAATTATCACATCCACATGTTTGTTTAAATTTGAACAGTTTTATGAATAAATATTGATAAACATATGTAATCATAATCCATATAAACTTACAGTCAAACGATTTCGGTTTGGATGTTGGTCGATCGTTTACTTGATGAACTGAAAAATATTCTTAGAATACTATCTAATACAATATTATTAGTTAATAATAATGTATATCTTACGATAAAGACACACTTTTCGGTTTATTACGTGATCCGAGAGGACGTCCTCGTTTTCTATTCGATGGAATTCCAGACGAAGTTCCTGCATTCACAAAAATAGGTAAATACTAATTTGTTCTGACAATATTTATAATAGCCAGGCTATTAGCCGTTGTTTAGTTTAATGATATTATCTCCAAAACCCATATTAAAGAGCTTTTTAAATATTATTACCCATGATCCAGCAACGATCAACAATCTGGAAAATTGTTTTATGATAAGATTTTGTTTGAAACAAAACAGAGATATAGTGTTTCTAAAATTATTATTTGTTTAAGAAATATGGAAACCAAAATTTGGTTTTTCCTCAACAGAGCTCTCACCTTAGAATTGGAACGACTAATATCTATAATATCATTAATGAAATATATCTATATAATTTATTATATAACTAAAATAAAATTTATATATTAATATTATATTTATATAATATCCAGCTAATTATAAATTAGTATTATAAAATTATCAAAATAAAAATAAAATTTATTCGATAAGATAATAAGCTTAAAATTGATATGTATATTAAAATTATACACATCAAAGTCAGATATATTTATAATAAATTATGGTTGAATAATTATGGTTGGTTGTTCATAAAAAAAAATTATGGTTGAAACCCATGGTTGATTTCTATAGTCACTATATCGGTCAATATTAAATTTTCTTGTATAGATTAATTATCAGTTTGAATTGTTTTAGTGCCAATCTCTTACATAATATCAAGAAATGTAACCATATACCATAAAACCAACCAGTTGATTTCTATATGAAATCAGCAGAGAGTCTTCTTGATCATCCAACACTCTTACCAGTTGAAAGCACTATATCTCATACACGACATCTCTGCTACTCTCTTTTTGAATCAAACATTCCATTATGAAGAAGTAGACAGAGAATAAAACCAGGCTACACAGATCATTAGCATTCTACACAGTAGTTTGAGCAAGCCGGAAAGGAACAACAGTAGTCTGAGCAAGCCCACAGTCTAATGAAAGCTGGTCTTTACACTAACCCAAGCATCAACAAAAATAATAAGAACAAATACCATTAACAGCCATCAAGTTTCATAAAACTCATAAAAAAATCCGCCATAAGCAAGAAAATAGAGAACACAGAAATAGAATAAAAACACAAAAAGTGAGCACAGAGCTACCATGGATTTATGCTTACATGGAAACCTGGGTTCTTTTTCATTAGCGCTAAAGAATTTGAACGCACATCTCCTTATATCTTTCTGGATTGTCTCTGCAGGTTCTAGGTAAGTAGTATAACTCTGATAAGCAAGACGCATTGCTTTGGTTATGTATTCTGGTAAGGTGGACACATTCTGTAAGAGAAAATAAGAAAACATCAAACATGTAAAACACAAAAGAATTTTGTTGGCGAGGCAACAACAAACCTCTCCACTCATTCTGATGCTTCAGTCTGGATACGGTGGGCTTAGACCAGCCATATGAGCATGCCTAGGAAATGCCGCACCGGGGAAAGGTATAAATGGAGGCCGGTTCGTGTCCATCATTCCCATTGCTGAGGGTGGAAGGAAGCGTTACATATTTGGTTTATACATCATCGGCATTTCTCCTGTAGACATCATCTGCATTTTGATTCATGGGATTAATTTTCTTAGTTGAGGAGAACAAAAACTTTTTTTTGCTTTTAACATACAATTCTGTTGACATACCTGTATTTGCATCTGTAGCGACTTAACGTACTCCATAGCATCTTCCAACATTGAAGCTTTATCAGTCTGTTCAAAAGTAGAATCGATCAGAACCAAAAAACTCAAATCAGATCATCAACCTTACCATGAGTAAGTATAAAACTAACCTTGTTGCAGCGAGGAATGAGTTCTTGGAGAACCTTCATCTTCTCGTTGATCTTTTCTCTTCTTCTGTGTTTTACAAAAAAAGGGTACATTATTAGTGGAGATGAAACACAGGAAAGCTTGACTTGAAACTTAAAAGGAAGTTTTCAAGATTAACCCTTTCGGAGATGTTATGCATTTCTGCAGCTTGTGACCTCTTCCTAGATTACACAATAATCTCAAGAGAAGGTTCATACATCTTTTTCAAGTGCCAAATGACATTACTGCAAAGCCTGCTTTCAAAATATGTATTCATTCTCTGAGGGCATGTCTGAATCAAATGCCCTCCTTTCAGAGCAGAATCTTACTTT